ATCTTTCTGAATTCTTCAGAATTATACACTTGCTTTTATAATTAATTTTTTATTCTCTTTAAACACACATAATCATTGGTCACTACTTAAAAAATTTTCTTCACAATTTATCTTAGATGCTTCATTTATATAACTGCATTTGAGAACAAACCATCCTATCTTATGTTGTTTATCAGTCAATAGTTGAGATTTCTGCTGTCATCCTTCCTCGGTGCAGAACATTCTGCATATAGACATATGTACATAATCTTTCTCAAGCACAATGTATATCAAGCAAACCTCTCTTGAGACTTAGAATTATATTTTTAAAACATTTTCTAGAAAGCCAAATACTTCTCAATCTAGTTCTAGAAATTCTTTTAAAATTATTTTATTACTTTTTATTACTTTCGTAAGTAACCATCTGAGGAAAACTGCTTATCATTGAACAAATAAAACATTATAAACAAGAGTTCCACCTCTAAATTCTTATATTACCACTTTGGTGGAAGTGTTTATTCAATACGACGTTTTCCCCAACTTCTTCATAAATCTATGTCAAGCATTAGATCAATATTTAGATCTTTAAGTGGTTTCTCCTAGTTAACCATTTCCTGGGAATTTCCTGAATATTTATTCAAGGCTAGTTCAAGAAAAAAATAAACTCCTGCATCTGTCATTACTTATATCTACCAAATGATAAGGTATGCAGAAAGGAAAGAAAGGTGTGACCTTCAAAGAATCCTTGTCTAAAAACATATGCGCAATAAGTATGATGACAGAAGAAAGAACAGAGATAAGAGAAAATGCAAGAAGTGCATCTCATCCATAGTGAAAGACTGGAGAAGGCTTTTTAAATGAGGTGGGTGAGAAGCACCAGGAAGAATTAGTATGTGTAGATTGTGTGGCTAGGGTGCATGTCATAGGAAGAACTTCATGTGTGATGATTTTCATGGAGTCACACATCACTTGCGATAATTGCATTATTTATGGAAGTTTATATTAGATTTAGCTGTGTCAAAATAATGCATAACAAACCAGATTCCACTTTGAAAGGATTCAGTACAGAAAACAATACAACAGATATTAGTAAGTCCCTAAACTTTCAAACCACTTTTTCTGATTAAGTGGTATTTAGATATTATACCTCAAAAGTTGGCTTTTTAAACTATAAAAATAGTTTTTCATGTGGTTAATATTTGTATTGTAATTGTGAAGTGCTGAATTTTATTATGTCAAATATTGATGGATAGCAAATTATTATTGTCTTTTAAGTTTTTATTTTTGGAATTTATTTCGTAGACTATTTTTGTCATCAATATAATATTTTGTTTTTAGAAATATTTATTTCTATTATGAGCAAATTTTCTTATGCTATAAAAAGACATTGAATAAGATTACAAATGTTTTACACATTATTATATCATAGTCTTCAGGAATATATATTCAAAAATCTCTCTCCATATGCTCAGAAAGATTTTAAGGTGTGCTATTTCTTTGCTAAGTTAAAAAGATAAACTATTTTTAATCTCTTGTATAATTTCCTTCAATTATTGTTGAGGGAAGATGTGTGAAAGACTTCTGAAAATCAAGCACTAATCAATTAAAATCACAATTGTTTTCAAATCTGAAATTGTTTCTTTCACTAACTTATTCATTTTCAGAACTTCTGTGCTTAGACAGTTATGCTATTGAAAGTTATTAAAAATAACATTGTCTTTTATAGTTCCACTCTTTTTGAGGAAAATCTTTAGCTGAGCAATAATATCTAGCCTAAGATGGGATCTCTGTTGAATTTGAAAGAAAATCTTAAAAGACTGAATTGGAGATAAGTTGATAATAGGTATCAAATTGCCTAAAAGAAAGGGTTGTCTTTGAAAAGTCCAATGATTTTCTCAGGGATAAGGCCAATCAATGAATAGTACTGGCTTCATTGAGTGTAATTTAAACACTGTTGTTGAATTGCCAATTTTATATTCCATTTTCTTTTCTGAAGAACAGTTCTTGAAATAAACTTTTCTCTCCACAGCACATTTTCTTCTAAAGGTTAGATTTCTGCTACAATGTGATAGAATAGACTGTCGTTTTCCCATGTATTGATTGTGACCAAGTATTAACTGGTCTGTGGAAATTAAAATTCAGATATTTTTGTAGTGTTGAGTCATCACTCATGAGCTTCCTTCTGATTAAATAGAATATCTAAGTCTCTGTCTTAGTCCACTTGGGCTGTAATAACAAAATTCCATAGACTCAGTGGCTTATAAACAACAGAAATGTGTTTCTCACAGCTCGAGGACTCTGAAAAGTCCAAGGCGAAGGTACCTGCAAATTCAGTATGGGATCTGCTTCCTGGTTCATAATTGGTGTCTTCTTGCTGTGTTCTCATGTGGCAGACGGGCTGAGCTAGCTCTCTGGGGGCTCTTTTATAAGGGCACTAATCCCATTCATGAAGGCTCTGACCTCATGACCTAGTCACATCCCCAAAGCCCTGTCTCCTAATACCATCACCTTGGGAGTTAGGTTTCAACATATGAATTTGAGGGGAAGACACACACATTCAGACTGTAGTAAACTCCTATGGGAGTTTTGGGGAAATAGTCAGGGAAAGGGTTAATTGAAATAGGAAGTCATGGGTTCTTGTATTCTTGTATTTCTTAGGCCTTTACCACCTTCGACTGGGCCACATGCTTCCATTGCGTCCTTCCATTATGTTTCCCAGTTCATTTGCCTCTGTGTTACTAAGAACAATATTATGCCAACACTGCTACTGATAATAACTGTCAATATTTCTTTTGCAATACTTATGCACCAAGCTTTTCTCAAATGAGGCAATGCACCTTATTTAATTTTTTCAATAATACATATATGTAACAGCAAAGAAAGAGGGAACATTTGGAAATTTGACTCTGATCTTCACCAACATCCTTTCCTTTTATACGGTGGAGAAAAGATTACAGCTTGTTATGTTCTGTTGGACCATGCATCCCTTGTTGAACCTTTCACAGTGCCTTGTGAATGGTAATTAGTTAAGAAGTATTCATTAGAAAAAGAGAAATACTTTTGAAATAGGCTTCGGCTGGGCACTGTGACTCATGCCTTTAATTCCAGCCCTTTGCAAGGCCAAAATGGGAGGATCACTTGATCCCAGGTTTTTGACACCAGCCTGGGCAAGATAGCAAGACCTCATCTCTACAAAATATAGAAAAAATTATCCAGGCTTGGTGGCACGTGCCTATAGTTCCAGCTAGGGCCAGAGGATCACCAGAGCCCAGGAAGTTGAGACCTTGGTGAGCCGTGATCATGCCACTGCACTCTAGCCTGGGCAGCAGTGAGACTCCCAACTCAAAAATAAACCAATGAATAAATAGAAAACAAAACAGGTTTAACATGGCTACTACAGGTACAGTTCCCTGTGGGCTTTAGCTGCTGTGCATACTTTGTCCTTTCTTTCTTTCAAGCTGTCCTTATTCCAAACTATTCTTCCAAAGTGTTGCTAAATTGTTCGCAAAGTGATTCAACAAAAAATGACTTTCTATTTCGTTACCCCCCCCCCACTGTCTCCCCAGAGCTCCAGTAGGAGTTTTGTTTTGATTTAACGATGGGGATATGTTCTGGTAAATGTGTCATCAGGTGGTTTTGTCATTGTGCAAACATGATAAAGCATAGTTACTGCAAACTAGATGGTATAGTATATGGCACAGCCTGTTTGCTCCTAGGCTACACATCTGTAGAGCATGGTAGTGTACTAAATACAGGAGATAATTACCACACAGTGGTAAATGTTTGTATATCTAAACATATCTAAACAAAGAAAAGGTATCGCAAAGATACAGCATTATAATCTCATGAGACTACAGACGAATATGCACTCAGCATCCTAAACATTGTTACGTAGTGCATGACTGTAGTAGAAATTGTTAAATTCATCACCATATAGTCACCAGTTAATCACAGTAAGAGTTTCCCACTCTGTCATGTTCTTAAAATGTATACATTGAGATGTGTATATTAAAAGTATTTCTTAAACACTGAATATATGTGAGATACAAAATTTAAACTAATATCTCTTTAATTTAAAACATGCAAGTTTAGATTTATGGTCCATGTTTTCCACAGATACCCCTTTTTTACTTTTTCACCCCCCTAATGATTCAAAAGAAGGTGAACTTGCTTTGATTTTACTGAAAGTATTTCTCTTTATTTTTAATACAATTGTTATTTACTTCCTTAAATATTCTCTGGAATATTCTACATGCAATATGTGATGTGAATCGATGCTTCCAAGAAGATTTCCTGATTATGCACTTTCATGGAAGTCTTTCATTTTATTTTTAAAAGATATTCGATCCCTCTTTTTTTCCCCTTTGGCTCAAAACATTTTACCAAAAAGCTTTACTTTGGCTTCAGAATGAAACAGGAAGGTCTCAAATTCTGGTCCTGTCACTTTCTGTCTCTGAGACCCTGAATATGATTTAGGCTTCTTAAGCCTTAGTTTCCAATCCCTAATTTTTAGGATTCTTGTGAGAATAAAAGGAAGAGAGGTGTACTAAACCATAGCACACTGTCTGCACTTACAGCTGCTTGATACATGCTAGCAATTAACATAATATTAGTGTCAGAAGTAGTATTTGCAGTAACAGTAATGCAGATTTTGTTTTACAAAAGCTTATTTCAGAATGGTCTGATAAGTGTAATTGTTTCAGGTATTTGGTAAACTCGATAAACTAATGATTAAATTTGCTTCTGTACATTTATAGTTCAAACATATGAGGTTAAACTGTACAGATGATATATTCTTACTATATTTTAGCATCACATAGAGTTCAAGTGCTGCGAATTTCAAGTATGTATATCACAATCAATGGGTAAATTTCATAAAGTAACTTTAAGAATCATATCGTACATGACATGTAAAAAGTATAATTGATTTGGTGTTTCTGGTAGAATGGGTCTGTATCTTTGTGTTCTCAGTCTCCTAGTTCCCTTACTCAAATAACTGAAATGATGTTTTTGCTTTTCAGTTACTCAAGACTGCTTGCAACTGATTGCAGATAATGACACCCCAACTATACAAAAAGGTAATAAAATAGCCCAGTACTTTTTCCACTTAGGATCCAGTTCCCTTCAAATACTTGTAAGATTCAAGTCTACAGACTTTGTTTGAATGGCATCTCAAGTCAACCATCCACCTCCAAATCTCTTATAATTAAATGCAATGTTATAAATAAATGTATTCAGAGTGACCGGGGAATACATATTTAGGATAATGTAATAATCTAATAAGCAGAATGATGTTAGAGTCACTAGTATTTAGAAATTTTAAATAACTGAAATACAATAAAATAAAATCAATGCTAAATCAACCTTTTTATCATTTAAAAATCATTTTGACTTGCATAATGACTCAAGATCATTTTCACAAATATTAAGTTTCCTGTTATAGTCAGTTGTAAAAATCATAAAAGAATCATGATGAAATTGAACAGACCATTTAAAAATTATATTTTTGATGAAAATGCAAATCAATCATTACTTAATAATTTATCATTTCCTCATAGAGGTAGAATATTTAAAGCCTTTTCAGCTACTGAAAGCTTTTGTTAGCTTTAACTATAGATAAATAAGTATTTTTTGTAATAATGACCTGAAGTCACATTCATAGAAGATAAACTTTTAACGCCATTTTCCCAAATGGATCACTCAGATTGTTAGTCCAGAGAAATGGCCCTTGAAATAAGAGTTTTATTGTCAGATAAGTTTAGAAACACAGATCACCCCATGTATTTTTCTTTGAGAGTCACAAGGCACATTAACAAATTTTTGAATTTGAGGACTCTTACTACAAAAAAAAAAACTTGTTTGACTTTGCTTTGTCCAATTTTTCACAAATGTATGGGACTATACCATCTAACATGTATCAACATCTCCCTGAAAGCAAAATATTTTAGGAATATTGCATCTTTATAGTTTCTGTCTATACAAGATTAATAAAGAGAAAAATGAACTAGAAAAGTACCACTCACTCACACATTCATTTATTCATCTATTTTGCATACATGGGTTAAGAATATGCAATTATTCTAATTACTATGGTCACTAGGGGTAGCAGTGAATAAAATAATGTACAGATGCTCCTGAAATTTATATCAAGATAAGCCCATTCTAAATTGAAAATGCATTTGATAAAACTAATCTACCAAACTTCATAGTTAAGCTTAGTCTAATTTAGACGTGTTCATAACACTTGCATTAGGCTATAGTTGGGCAAAATCATCTAACACAAAGTCTATTTGATAATAAAGGATTGAATAACTCATGTTATGTTTTGAATATTGTACCGAAGTTTGGTTGCTACTAAATACCTATTCCTTTGGCACTAAATCCTAAGTCGAATCATCCCTAATCGGGGACCATCTGTGTGGTTTCCTTCTCCCAATGAGGAGAAAACAGAAACATTTGCAATTGAACAAGTAAAATGTAGAATGAGGAAATGCTGTGGAGGCAGGTGATGAAAGGAGTTTTGTGTGTGTGTTGTGAACCGCAGTGGAAAGTTCAGGTATAGTAGGAAATTAAGCTAGGGGACCAAGAATGGGCAAAACAAAACCAACACAGACGATGAATGCATACTGGCCTTTGTCATGATTCCTTAGAAGACTATTTTGCGTTTGCATTTTGCAAAGTGACTTAATTATTCTAAATGCAACACAAGTACTGAACTATTTGAAAATCTTTTATTATTTATTGCTCTACAGCTTCCAAAAAATATGTTTGCAACTTTTAATGGGCAGCAAACTATTTCCTAAGAAATAAGATAAAGCCAGAAGAAGATTTTAAAGACCAAAGATACAAATTTTTAAAAATTTGGCAAAGGTTTACCTTGCACATCTGGGGAAAAAAATAAAGTTGCCGTAACCGCTGGAAAAGTGATTTAGCTGCTATACTCCAATGTGAGTGTGAATTGTACAGTGTGTTATCTTCCCGGATTCGGGGATGCTTACCCGGGATGCTGATCTGCAGTGATTGAACCCTTTGGATGCATAAGTTGTCCTGATAATGCTGGCAACCGCCTTTGACAGTCTATAAATGTTAGTGTGCCTGGACATTTTAGCAGGGAGATAGAGGTAGGTTGGTCTGTTTGCAAAGGTTGTGTTCAGTGAAACATTTTTACTTGTGTAGGTCCTTAGGAAACCTTTTTGGGAAATATAATAATATATTAGTATATTTTCCTTATATGCAATATTATCTTATTGCATTATATGTATCTTAAGATGAAATTATGCTGCATATTTCAGAAGCCTGGAAGTTCAAAGGAGAATGGGCATATGTTCGTCTGATATTTTGAATTCCTATCATTTCTTTCCTTTCCTTTTTTTTTTTTTTTGAGTTGAAATCTCACTCTGTCACCTAGTGGCATGATCACATCCTTGACTTCCTGGGCTGATCCTTGACTTCCTGGGCTCAGGTGATCCTCCTGCCTCTTTCTCCCAAGTAGCTAGGACCACAGGCCCAAGCCACTGGGCCTGGCTTATTTTTTAAATTTTTGTCTTGATATGTTGCTCAGGATAGTCTCAAACTCTTGGGCTCAGATGATCCTCCGACCTCAGCCTCCCAAAGTGCTGGAATTACAGGCCTGGGCCACTGCATCTGGCCATGAATTCCTGTGATATCTGTGTTCTATACTTTTGTCAAGGCAGTGAGGGCATAGGTAAGCTACACAAAAATAGAAGAAGGCAAGAGGGGCCTATCAGGGTGTAGATGCATATCTCTCCCGTGTATTTTTTATGTTTTGAATTTTAATTTAATTTTGAATAGGTGGTACATTCACATGTGCAGCCAGATTAAAAAGCATGAAAGAGACTAATAATCTTCCCATCTGTTCCTGCCCATGACCACCTCACTTTTACTGTTTCCTATGTAGGCATTAAGATTATCTTTATGTAAACACAGATTAGATTGTAGTAATGATTACCCCTTCTTATACTAAATGTGGAATACCATGCTTGCAATGCATAATATGAAAACAAGATTTTAACCTGCTTTCTTTACTTAGCAATCTATATTGCAAATATTTTGATGCTGTACAGAGTTCCTCATTATTTTAAAAAGTTGTATAGTATTCCATTGTATGAATATATTACTTAATGAATCCTCTACCAATTGTCTTCTTGGTGACAACTTTTTGCAATAACGGTGTTTCAAAAAATGACTGTGCACATTCATAACTTTTCATATGTCAGCCTGTGTGTTGGATAGATTTTAAAAGTTGACAGTTATCACCTACTGGTTCTATCAGAATTATAAAATGTTATGCTATCACGGGTGACAAAATAACATTAGGTGAAAGTAGTGTCTCATAATTTGCTTTCTTTTAATATGAAATGTGTGAGTCATCTTGTTGTATGTTTTAATAATCATTTGTATTTCTGTATTCACATTCTTCCAACTTTTCATTTCTATTTTTACTTACTTTCCTGTGAGCCATCTGTTCATTTTTTTTTTTCCATTTTTCTTTTGGTCATTTTAAACTTGATTTAAAATGATTTAAACTTTTGGGCTTTTGGTCATTTTAAACTTGATTTCTGTGAGTTTCTTATATCTTAAGCAGACTTGTGCTTTGTATTATGAGTTGTAAGTATTTATCATCAAGCTGTCATTTTTCTTTTCAATTCTGCATAAAAGTTTTTTGGAGGCTCCAATTTATCAAGGTTTTTATTAAGGATTCTGGATTTTGAATTAGGATTAGAAAATCCTTGTGCATTTAAAGATATCAAGGGAGGCTCTCAAGTTCCTCCTTAAACGTGTATATTTTTTAAAATTTGAATATTTAAAAAGTTTTACTTATTTGCAATTTATCCTAGTATAAGATGTGAGGTATGCAACCAACTTTTCCCCCTGCCTCTAGAAGGTACCACTAATTTTTTTTCAATAGCACATATTTTCCATCTTGCTTGAAGATGTCAACTTTAATTGATATTAAATTCCTGTATTGGAATCTATTTATTCTTTTCATTTTTTTTGACTTTTCTGTTTATTGATTTATCTGTTTATTTATATATCCCAGAATACCACTTTAGCTATTAAGCTTTTATATTATTTGGTAAGTCTAATTTCCTCCTCATTTTTTCTTTTACTTAGAAGGTTTTCCTATTTTTTAACAGAAACTATAGAATCAGCTTATGTAGATTTAAAAAAATTCTGTTATTTTTGTCAGATCTAATTACATTTGTAAATTAAGTTTAGAAAACTACCGTCATGACAATAGGTGGTCCATCAATTTTAATCCAAGAATGTGATACATATTAATATTTGTTTAATCTTCTTTTGTTTCTTCAGTATGAATTGAAATTTCTTTAAGTAGGTCTTGAATATTTTTCAGAAATATTATTACAAGGTATTTTATCTTTCTAATCGCTACTATAAGTGGAGATATTTTTTTCCTTTTTCTTCTAGATGGTTATTATTTTTGTGTATGAAGCCCTTGAATTCCATGATTTATTAAGTTTGAAATAAATTTTTTTTTGGCTTGCGTTTCCCTCATGTGACTTTGTCCAAAATTTTATTTTTAACTTCTCTGAAATAATTTGTTTTCTATGTGTCCCATGTATACTAAACCGGGTTGGGTTTTGCTTTTTTAAGTCTCATCTTAAAATAAACATCATCTCTTGAGTGATTTAACCCATTCTACATTTACTTATTTCAGAAATATGTTTGACCTTTATATATTGTTTTTGCAATACTGTGCATTGTTTTATACTTTAACAAAAAAGTTTTTATTTTATAGTTTTAAAGACTTAATTTACAATGCTGGCCATTTGTTTTTTCTGTTTGTATAGAGTTCTAAATATGAAATACTGGAGATATTTACCTTTACATCTTTTTTATTGAGGCCAAATTCACATAACATAAAACTAAACTGTTAGCTGGGCTCAGTGGCTCAGCCTGTAATCCCGCGCCTTTGGGAGGCTGAGGTGAGTGAATTGCCTGAGCCCGAGGGTTCAAGACCCGCCTGGGCAGCGAGACCTCATCTCTACAATAAATCAAAAAATCAGCCAGGTGTGGCGATGCATGCCTGGAGTTC